ACAAGTAATTTTACTTGAGATTTTTATACTCATATCTCTTCGAATATATTTAGTATTAATAATATAAAAAATATTTTGTATATAATGGCGTGCTTGCTTCGAAATCTAAAGGTGAGAGATAAAACTCAATTCTATTTATTGCAATGGTGTAACAACAGTTTTTATATCGTGTAATGGGCGACAGTGAAATTATATAAATGTGCGTGTACGTTATACTCTAAATGATGCCAGCGACATATCTCAATGGATCATTTTTGTTCGCATACGAATAAAATTACACTTTAAAATATAAAATGTGTGTCGGTTTTTCTTTAAGTCTCTGTCAACATAAATTAGAAATATTTTAATTAATATATTTGTATATTATTTTTTAAGCTTATATATTATCTTTTCAATTCCCTATACCTTGCATTTATTTTTGATAATGCTCGTCCATTCTTATGTATCTTCTTTTTTTGTTATGAAATGAATTTCTTGTTTCTCGTCTCGGGAGCTCTAGAATTTAGTATTTTAATGTTATTTCATTCAATGATCATTCGAATATTTATTTACTCGTACATAAATTCATATCAAAAAGTTTATTAAAATTATGATCTTGACTGGAAGATATGCTTTCAATTGTTTCTAACTTTAACGTATTTTCGCAATAAGAAGAAATATTTATTTCTGAAACTGTTAATCACACGAACGCGATATTCTTTTTATATTTATTTCAATAATATTGAATATGTCAAACCTGTCACAAGCATTTTTTATTTACTACCATGAAGTAAGTGAAGCGAAGAAGTAACATTGGAGGTTCGTATAAAAACTTTGTAACAAATATTTTTCATTCTTTTTTATGAAACCATCAATGCTGAGTATATTATATAAAGAATAACATTTTCCGTAGTACACAATAATAATTTAAAACAGATTCAGTATTTTGAATTTTACATTATTATTAAACGATGTAATTTAATACATATAAATATATAAATATTTATATAAGAATATAAGCAAAGAGGTTTTTCTTATACCTGTCAGTTTCACTGACTTTGGTAGTTAGATTGAATGTAATTCTCTAAACTGATATAAATCCTCTGATATTTTGTGCGATCGGTATTTCAGAATGTGGAAATTTTATGAAAACTTACCATATACTTAACAGTAACTGTTCCCTTTCAGAGGTGGCGCGACAATACAGAATTGTTTCTACCACAAGAAACGATTTTTCTGCCATGGTAGTTTATGACTAAGAAGAGTGCAAGTCTTTCAGGTCACCGATTTAGTTGAAACTTTACAGGTTTATAGATTTCGTCATGCAGTTCAAGAATATATATCATTATAGCCGCACTTACCCAATAATTTTTAAGATATTTACGATTAAAGTTTTATTACTTCTTTAATTATAGATTTATTTCCAATTGTTTTCAAGTGGAGTCGTGGCCTAACGGCGACAATCGAGAATTTTTATGCTGGAGGACCCGAGTTAGATTCCTGTCTCCATAGTTGGTACCTTTCTTCAATTTATTTTTTATTTTGTATTCATTTTTCGCCTATGAAAACATTCTAAATAAACAATTGTAAATAAAATTTCTGAATAAAAAAATTTATTTTTTACGCATTCTTATGCTAGTATATATTTATTACAAAATAATAAGAATATTATGCAAGAAAAACACTTTTCTATAGTAATCTTATTTACTACAGAAAGAAAACGAAAATATAAATAATCATTAGATACAGGAAATACAAAACCTATAATGTAAGTATTAATTATTAAATTAAACATTGTATAAGAATGTTGCTATAATTCCAACTTTGCTGTGTAGCTATAAATGTTCACGAATTAATTACAGGAACTTGGAAATTTATTAATTTTCTACTACGGAATTGATTTGTTAAGATGTTAAATTTTTATTGTCTATTAAGATGAAAAATTTTACCTCAAAAACGAAACTCAAAAAAGTAATAAGAACACAGAAAAGGCGAGGAGGTCGTCGAAGAGCTCGTCAAATGACAGACAAGGACAGAGAGGGGATAGAAAAGGATAGAAGGGCTCCGACAGTGAAAGATTAACGAATTACTCAATTTCCGTGATTAATTTATGAATTTTTATAATTGCATTGCAAAGCTGGAACTTTAGGTAACATTCTTATACAATTTTCTTAAAGAATTTAACATTAATTGGTTAGTTATTAATTATTGTTTGATGGCGTATATGATTTCGTAACAACAACCGTCACGAACTTCCGTAAATATATTTAATACTAAATGAAACTAGAAGCAAAATGTGAACAAAAATGATACGTGAACATGCTCTAGGATATCATTTATATAATGCGTGCATGAAGTTCATAAATTGATTAAGCAGAAAATAGTAATTAATGAAAAACTATTGGTATGTACGGCAAGAATTCAAATACCTTGTGCAATAATCACTAATAATTAAGTAATTGGGGACAAATTTATATCCAAAATTATATTGAAAAGTTCTTGAAGGATTTGCCTTTACGATGCAATTATAAAAGTTCATAAATTAATCACAGATATTGAGTAATTTGTTAATTTTTCACTGCCGAATTGGTTTATTAGGAAGTATCAGAAGCACATAATTAGAGTTAGTAACCTATTCAAAGAAAATCAGTGTCATCTATGATTTTGAACTCGAAGCTCGGATGAGGTAGAAAGAACCATATGAAATCTTTGATGGGCAAACCTATATTCATAAATGCGAGATGGTTTAGGCAGATAAAAAGGAATAAAATTAATTTAGATCATGGCCTCTTATAACAACTAGATATAGAGTATACAGTGAGATTGAAAGGCATGATGTATTCATGATCTAAATAAATATTAATATCAGTGGTCAAAGTCAATGATCATTGCCAATGTGTTAAATTTCAGAATGATGAAACTAAGGTATATAAAGAAAAGAAAGAGGTTCGAATGAAAGCAGTGAGAAGAGGAAATACATATTATGTCGAATTAAGAAACATAAAAGAGGCAGCATACGTATCAAGAGAGAAGGATGTGTGGCATCGACATGCAAATATGAGGATCATTGAAGAGATGGAGAATGAACACTTGGTAATAGTTATGAAAGGTAAAGATAAATTAAATATAGAGTGTAAATATTGCATTAAGGCACAAATAAATACTTACAGGAACTTGGAAACTATAAGAGCAGCAGTATTAATTAATAATGAGGCTGTGGCACATGGAATTGATTGAGCAAATGAAGCCAACGTTAAATGGAGGTAAAAGGTACGTCTTACCTGTTGATGATTATTTAAGAAAAGAACCATTTGATTGACTGATTTATAAATGACTAAAGATTTAATATGAAATATTATTGACAAAGGTTTTTTTTATTATAGGAGACTTACAAACATGAGTAATATTTATATGCAAGAGCCAGCCACTATAGGTAAAGTAATAAGTATTAGTTAATAATATTTCAATGGATTGTATATCTGATTTAAAAAATTTAACCGATATACAATATTTACTTTCTAAATATCTATATTAATATATTAAATAATTTCTAATTTGAATTGCAATAATAAATAATAAATTCTAATAAATTTGATTTTAAAAGTATTTTACATTAATAAAACTAATATATTTGTTATAACTAGGTTATAATGAAAACAACTGTTGGTGATATTGAGCTAGAATTATGGGCAAAAAAACTCCAAAGGCATGTAGAAATTTCATACAATTATGTATGGAAGATTATTGGGATGACACTATATTTCATAGAATTATCAAAGGATTCACAAGGTAGCGTTCCCACAAGTACAGGAGAAGGTGGTAAAATACATGGTGAACCATTTAAAATGAGACTATATTTAAAAATAAAATGAATTCCTTTCTTATTCAAAAATAATTGTTGGATATATGTGTTTTAGGACGAATTTCATACAAGATTAAGTTTTTGTCGATGAGATTTAATTGTTATGGTTAATGCTGGAAAAGATGACAATGGTTCCCAATTCGTCTTTACTCTGAGTTCTACACCAGATTTGCAGAATAAACATACAACCTTTGGTAAAGTTACTGGAGGAACTATATATAACATGCTTAAACTTGAAGAAGCACTTGTAGATGAGGTAAATTTAATGTTTACAAGAAAATATATCAAGAATTGATATAAGTATAATATTTCCTCTTTTTTCTAGAATGATAGACCACTTTATCCTCCAAGATTGATGAAAACTATAATATTGAACAATCCATTTTCTGATATTATACTAAGAATAATAGTGCAGGGAAGTGAAGAAGTAAGGGACAATTCAAAAACTAAAACAGCAGCAGCAAATAAAAATCATATATGTTTGCAGAATTTAGCCCTGATATTATTCCTTACAATGAAAAATTGTGTTACAGAGATTTCAATCTTTTATCATTTGGTGAAGAAGTAGAGGAAGATGAAGAAGAATATGTGATATTAAATAAAATGTTTAGTGGTAAGGGAAAATTAGCTCATGATCATTTAACTAATCCAAAATGAAAATAGTTTAGTGTGACAATAAATTTAATTATGTGCGCATTTTCGCAAGTTAAAATATTAAATCGCCGGTGGAAATATGTTGACACGTTATTGTTAAGTTTTGCAAATAAGTAACTGATCTTTATTTTGAATTTATCATCGTACATATTATAATTTTGATTTACGGATATTGAAAAGAACCATATGAAAGAAATGTATATATTATTTGACTACAAAACTATTTTAATATTTGAGAATTATATTATAAATTCGTAATTCAGTCTTTTTATCACAATAGTTATGAGTTATAGCTTTCTAGAATTTAATTCCAGATATACAGTATTGTTTTGTTAAATATAGTAATAGACTAGCTTCGATAGTCTGAAGCGCTAAAATATAAAAATGGTATACGATGTAGAGAGATTTAAGTATCACTCAACAGATGGCGGTAGTTGCAACTATGGCGAGTCAAATATCAATCGCGGTTAATCACGTGTTTGCTTGCCAGTTTTCGGTTATAACTTTCCGGGTTACATTTCTAGTAATAAGTGAATAGTTATATCAGAAAGAAACAATTGCTTGCCTTTTTATAATATATGTAAGTATGCTGAACCTAACTGTTTAATTAATATTTATATTTGCGTGTGAAAATTTGCACGTTGAAATTTGTAATTTCTATTTTAGTTTAGCCTTATAAATCATAACCTATAAATTTAACGAACTACAATTTTAATCTGCTAAATTTAATTCGATTTTGAAAACACTGATTTTATAACTAATTCATTTTTGACAGATGATATTTGTGGAAGAGATGCAACAAGTGAGAAAATTTCATACGTATCAACGCTTCCAGTTAAAACGAAGGATCGAAATTTTCATCTTCAATGCCCATCTTTGGCAGGAGAATATTACACGTAAGTCATACATACGCTTTCGTACATTTACTCGAACAGTATTATCGTATATTGAACGTTACATTGTTCATCGGCATAGCGCGTTGTAAGATACGTATTCCCAATTATCTCTAATCGGTAGAGCAATTTATCAATTATTCTCTTTGTGTCGAATATACATAAAGTATCTTGTCAGCAACGATTACAAACACGTGGTATGTATATATTACACGCGTTGCAGCCATACGATGATTTAGCATATCTGTATACGAGGTTTACCCCTGTAAACCAACGTTAGCTTCGAGTCATGGGGATTTGAGGCGCCCTTGTAACGAATGAAGTCAATACATTAGGGGAGTTAATCCCATCAAAAATAGAATATGATTTAACGTAAAATAGCTATTACTTAGATTACAAGTATAACTTGTATGAGTCTTTACGCAATGTGCTTAAGAGCGAACTTGCGGAATTCCCTCCTCCACTTGCCCCCTCTTATTCTAAAGTGCCATCGATGGAGAATGTTTTTGGAATTAATGTGCTCGAGTTTCAAACTAGGTCGAACGAGGATCGAATGATGCTTCGTATCGTTGAGCATTTAAGCGTCATGGTGAATCCATTTGCGATTTCAAGATTAATTAAATCTTTAACCAACCGATCTGTGTTCGTAAATACGCATTACAACGATAATCGAATTAAAAGTTTCAGCGTTGAAGACATCGAACGATTTCCTAATATTTTCACGATGGGTCGATCCGAAAGGAGAAGTTTATCCTCGCACCGGTTTTTATTGAGCCATGAAAACACGTTCTTACATTTATCGATGCTCTGCGCTTCGAGTTTCACATCTCCGCTTTTTTCTTCTTTCCAATACCGAAGAGGCAAACATAAATTGTTTTCCTACGCACGACTATAAAGCGGTGCCATGCTTTAAGCAAATATCCGGCTGCCTCCTTGGATATCCGTGGTCCGTTCGATCAGGACGCATAACAGGAATAGCTGGTAAGGCAGAAACGTGTTTGTTGGTCCTAAGAACGAAGACGAATAGGCACGAGTTGAACCATAGAGGCATAAACCAATCAGTCTAATAGAATCTCCCCTGTTGCCTATCGAATGATTCATAGGACGTCGCATGGGAAGCGAATTTATTAATAAGAGGCAGTCAGCCATGCCACCAGACCGGCTCCGAACTGATTCGTCATTATTACATGGGTTCTGACCCAGCGATCTTAACATCCAACGCTAATTGGTCGCCGTGAACGCGTTTCAGCTGCTGATTTATCGTGCCAATAAATAGTCGCGTCTCCCTTTCGTTCTTTCTCTCAGTTCCTCTTGCACGTGGGTTCTAAGATGAACTGTTGCGACTGTAAATGAAGATTTAACGAAACGCTACGAGAAAGGGCCGGTTCGACTCCGTTAAATCCTGTTTCGCGAAAGAATTATAACGATTGCCCGACTGCACATACGCGATTACATGGTACGCAAACAAGGGAAGAACGACTTGTCATGCATTATACGTATTTGCAGCATTTTATACGGCGAGACGGATAGATTAAAACACTCGATGCTATTTTACCCCGACGTTATAGATGACAGTCAATTTTCGAGTCGGTACGAGTGAGAATGAACAGCGTGTGTATGCGTGTATGTATGTATTACTCGTGAGCTGGAATGATTGTTATTAGTTACACGTTCCTCGAAGCACATATTGAAACGCACACACAGTCTGGGCCATATTTATTATCTCAGTTTTCCAGCGATTCATTAATCGCGTGTTTAAAGACTCGAGCTTAGCTAGTATTCGATCATACCTTTCGTTAGTTACGGAAGTGGGTATCATAAGCGATATCACGATACCAATCGTGTGTACACAGCTCTATAAATTGACTCGGCAAATATTCGTACAGAAGGCAGGTCTAGGTTGTACGTTACGAAAATAAAATTCAAGAATAATTGGAGAAAGTAGCTGAGCAATTTTTTCACCGATTAAATAGTGCAATTACCGATGAGTCAGTTCTCTATTCTCGACGCGGTGCGTGCCACCCTTGTATCATCGCGATATTTTAAAACGTTCACCCCGCCTCGAACACGTCGTTCTCGAGGCATCTCGTATCGCGAAGCGCAATCTCGCAGTTCCCTCGAAATTGCCTGGTATTTTTCGGCGCTCCGCGTACGCAGTGGTCTCCTATTCATTACGAAAGCAAATGCACGAAAGTTTTCAAAGTAAGCATTAATGCCGGGAATGGGATGCACTTATTTATCCGACTGTTACATCAGGCTTTACGTAACCGCGCCGGGTACTGGAACGCATTATTGCGGATAAAGCAGGTCCACGAGTATTTGAGAGAGTCATGAAGAGACGAAGAGAAGGAGGAAGAG